CGCCTCATCTAGGGGGCGGCGCCTGGGGCGGCTCCCGAGGGCGGCGCCTCAGGCGTAGGAATATTATAAAACGCTAAGCTCCCGTTCCCTACCCATCAGTACACGTTTGCACGTTGACGGAGTTACTATAGGTGGATTTTTGTTTGCAAATCGGTCTCTCCAGAATGTATATTACCTTGTGCTCCGATAGTTCGAAACGATTTTACAGTGATAATACTATTTCAAACTTTTGCACACAACTGAATCGGGTTATTTGCAGCAGTGACGATGGCAAATCTTATGAGGCGGGGTTGGTAGAAGTATTTTTGCCTGCTCGGGTCACTTTCCAGTCCAGCCCCTCTCCCATATTTTGTTACTGTGACGTTATAAAGCCGCAGCTAGTTAGCGATTCGGAATCGCGTTTGCTTCGCATCCTTACGCCTTTTAACCCATTCGGTCATTATCAGTTTAATAAGATTTGTTACTTTCCGGTAGAAAAGCAAAATATCTCCAGCATCATTATTTCTTTCCGCACGAAAACTGGTGAACGATATTCATTCCCCGATGGAGAGCACCCGTCGATCGTTGTTCTCGACATACGCGAGAAGATTTAAAACCGTCTTATCTCTTTGCCTACGCCCCCTCAAATATTTGTGATATATACTACTTGCACACCCTGGCTGCCCGTCAGTATACACAATGCAGCAGGCGTATGAGGACTATTTTTCCAGGCAGGTGGGGATGGGTGTCCCGCCTGGGGGCAATAATAAGCTCGATGTGGGACCCGTGTACCAGGCCAGCTACATTCGACAGAACGGGCGAGGGGCCTTCTGTTGCGGACTCAGCGGTAGATACGTCACCAACATCGCCACGCCTCTCATCGCCAGGGGGAGCCGAGCTGTGGCCGAGGAACTAGCCAACGCGGGATTTGGGCTTTATCGCGACCTGACACAACCCGGTCACACCAACTCTTTTCGGTACGTTCGAGATGCCGCGGCCACTCGGCTGAAGGAGGCTGGTCAGAACCTCAAGAGACGGGCTCGTACGGCCCTCGGAGGGCGCGGTGCGACGAAGCGTCCTCGGAAACCTGCTAGCAAGCCTCGAGCGAAGCCTGGTACCAAGAAGAAGAAAACGCCTATAAAATCCAAGCGAACGACTAAGACGGTTCAGAAGAAGAAAGGTGGTGCTCGGAAGCAGACGGGACGAGGTGTTGCGAGCGACAACTCCAGTAGTGGCGGTGCTTTCCCGACAGACATTTTTTCGTGAGAAATAAGAATGGAGTCCGCCCCCGTAGCTGTTGTCATCCCGGGGGAGCTGGATATATTTTCTCCGGAAAAAGTCCAGAACGCCATTTTAGGCCAAGTGATGAGTCAACACAAACCACTCAGCGCGATAACTTATCCGCTGACCGTCGCTGAATTTCACTCGCGTGGGACAAACAATCTCTTCAGACGGCTGGATCAAACTTTCTTGGACCTCGACACGTGCTTCAGAGTGGAGGATGGCGGAAAACCAATGCTGGAACAGGACGTGGCTACGATCAACAATTTGCTTTTCAGTCTATTTCAGAGTTGTGAACTGTACTTGAATGAGAAATTAGTAATGAAAATTGACCATTTTGGGTATTACTCTTATATCAATACCCTCCTCACTTTCTCAAAACAAGCGGCTGAGACGCACTTAGAGTCGAGTATGTTCTATCTAGACGACCCCGCTCATGTTGAGACAGCCGGGGATGCTAACAGTGGCTTCATGGCACGGAAGAATCTTTTGTCTCTCGGAAAATTGTGCCAACTTTTCGGTAAAATGAGGGGTGGATTATTTGATCAACCTCTACTGCTTCCCCAGGGAATCGATGTGAGGCTAAAGTTGACATTCGCCGAAGAAAAATTTTATGTGTGGGAGGCAGATGGAGCTACGAGTCTACAATTGCATGTACCCGATATTACTTTGCACCTGACCAATGTGATTGTGTCTCCCTCTTTGATGTTGTCCCATGAGCGTATTCTCAGTCAGGCTAATGCACAATTTCCCCACAAACGTGTGGAAGTTAAAACTTACACATCCCCGCCAGGCAGCTCCAATATTCACCTTAATTCAATTTGCAACGGACCCATCCCAACATTTATGTGTTTGATAATGCTGGACAACACTGTTTTTAATGGAGATAGAAAGAAGAATAGTTTTACTTTCGTTCACAAATCTGCAACTTCTGTAACATTCTTTGTGAATTCGCAAGAGCATAAGATTGGCCCAATAGATTTTCACTCAACCAGCCCAAATTTCCAGAAGGCCTATTATCAGAGTCTGATCATGTCAACCGG